GGTCTGTAGTAGACTCCCACCATCGTGTCCCCTGTGCCGTGTTCCTCACCTTTTTTAACCCAGAGGGTCTCCAGTCATCCACCCTGGTCGCCAATATCAGCTTGCAGGGACATGTAGCCTTCCTTAACATAGAGAGCTACACCCCCGCCCCTTTTATCTACACGATCCCTCCTGTACAGCATATAGCCATCTATACCTGAGGTCCAGTCATGGGTGGAGTCCCATAGATAGCTTGAATTCCAGGAAATTTGTGTTTGGAATTCAAAGACTACATTCTCATGAAATGCTGTTTATCCATCTCACCATCTTCACACTTTGTCACTAATGACATGCTCTAATCTCCTGCCACTGTTACTTAGTCGAACCAAAAATGAAGAAAAAATGTAGTTGCTTTAATTTGCACTTATACAAATTATTGTTCTGCCTCTTACCTCCTGATAAAGTAGTAAGAAGAAATTGTCTTGTTTTGGCCTTTCAAAGTCCTGAAGAACTATATTAGAGGGGCATAGCCTCAGCTGATGTTAACATAGTTATAGCAATTGATACAAGATGATATCCAAAGTTACTATTTTCAAGCTTGTTGGCCTACCCTCTGAGATTCTGAAGACATTTCCCAATAGGCCACAAAATGTGTGTACCTTATCATTCAATAGATTAAGTCTCCCAAAATGGATGTATAAAAAGGATGCAAAGAACTTTTAAGTGTATATTTCATTAGTATGGATAGTTATAACTTGCTGTTTCTCCAAATGTTACTTAATACATATGAAAATCCCTTTTCTTTAGGAGCCAACACAGTTATTTCACAAAAAGAGGCAGAAAATACATAATGCTAATCAATTTTTATTATTGTGTTCTCTTTTATAAAGAAAACAGCCATAAAAGCTTTTGAAATCAGACTACCAATGTGGTATTTTTCATGTTACAAAGCAAACTCATTTGTGCTCTTATTTAATGGATTGAAAATAAAAATAGGTATCTAAAAACAAACGTGACTTTCCTTTCCCAGTGACTCTAACTAGTGTTTTTAATCCTATAATGGAAAGAAGAAATATTGCCATATTGCTACAGAATGCCCCAGAAGGTTATTGTGCTCACTCCAAGATTAAAATTATGTACTAAGATAGTAGTTGTATTCCTGTAATTATTTTAATTATTTTGTATTACTAGAACCTGCTAACTTCCTAATAGGCAAACTGTAAGTAGCAGTGATTGTCTTAAGACAGCAGTGCTCAACCTTTTGATGCTATGCACTAGAATCGGACCCTGTGTTGCCTCTACTTAGTCCACTGCTGCCTCCGCTCAGCCCCATGCCACCTCTCTCGGTGATGCACTACCAGATTAGAACCCCGCGCCACCTCCTTTAGCCCCATGTGACTGAATCAGGGCTTGGTGATGCCTCTGCTTGGCCCATGTGGCTAGATTGGGCCCCAGACCAGCTCCATCCATTGATTCTACATGCTATAGTACAAAGCTTAACATACCAAGTTGTTTAAGGTGCTTCTTGCAGATCTGGAAATTTGGTAGCAGGCGACCTGTGTAGGCTGGATGGCACAGCTCTTTGGGCTGGGGCTTGAGCACCCCTGTTTTAAAACTGAAGGCATTAAGAAATGAAGTGCTATGTTAAGGACCCTGTCAGAATTTCTACAGCTCTCAGTTACATTTCTTTTAATCCTGATTTTATTATTGGTGACTTGTAGAGTGGGAAAAAATGTATCCATGCCCTTCTTTTTGTCATATAAAAGAAGGGCTCAACACTTAACTCAACTGTTTTTATAATATGGGGACTACCGGGTCTTAATGTCCTTGTTTTGAGGAAGTTGTGTGATTACGCAAGTGGCATGAAGTGAAATTAAAGCTACTGAAAGGGGGAAAAGTGTTTGTGTGTTTTCATTATATCTGTTTTACGCAAATTTCCAGAATTCTTGTTTGCAAGAATTTTTAAACCCTCATCCTATCAGCTGAAGCTTGAGGAACGCTGAGGGAAAAAGCTACAACCAATAGGGAAGATTAAGAATTGTTTTTAGAACTTTAGGAATAGCAAGCAGAATACTTTTTTTCTTGAGGGAAGACTAGTGGCAAGGAGACTTTCAGATCTTTGCAACATGATGAAGAAACACAGGGTATTTCTACAGGTGCAATTCAATGCAACATGATAAACTCCAGCAGTCTGTGCCAGAGTCAGCTGCTTCCAGGCACAGCATCTGCATGTGCACCCTGTACCCAGAACTGCAGCACTCTGAGTTGGGGCAGAGCAGCTCCAGGCTGGCAGGGGACACAAGGGGTCAGCCTTGGGCTCCAGGTGCTGGCATCAGGTGGTGGAGGGGCTGGCTGGGGCATGAGGGTGCTAAAGCCTGCCCCTGCACTTTAGTACCCTCATGTCCTAGCCAGGCTCTGTCACTGTCTACATGTCCCTGAAAGTACTATCCTACAGCAGACTTAATTAATTTACTGTGACCTAATATTGGCACATGTATAAATTGTGAAGCTTTACTGTGGAGCTCATTAGTCAACTCTACAGTAAAGTGCACATCTAGATACACCCAAGGTGACATTTTTTTCCCTTTACATTTCTCTTTAAAAAAAATAGGGTTGGATGCTAGCAAATAGACTGATCCAAAGCTCATGAAATCAATGGGATTTTGATCAACATTACATAATCAAGTTGAGATACTAGCTTAATGTGAGTATTAAACAGTTCGTTCAGAGTTTTAATATAGAGAAAGAGTAATTTATATAAACGTATCAGAGATGTGCATACTTTAATAACATTCAACATATATGATATTACTTTTCCTATTGTATTCTACTTTTTCCACAAGTAAACCCTACAAGTTACTTCAAATGAGAGCTAATTTATTTTATTAGTTCATAAACCCCAAAAGCCAAACGAAAGTCTTGCAGTAACTGAAGACAGGTTTTATCTGTAATTTAAAATAATTGTATTTAAGCCAGTCAGTTATTCCTTTTGAAAGGATCCTATATGCTTCATTCAACCAGGACTTCTCTTCATTTTAGCAATTACTTAGTTGCCATATTGAGTCCAGATTAAACCCTGTATCCAGTGTCTCATTGGTGGGCATAGTATAGGAAACTAGATGTATCATGTGTGCAGAAATCTGTGTGGAAACTAAAACCCTTTTAAACTCATTTTTTCACACTGACTCAAGTTTTGAGTAAAGAAAATCTCAAATTCACTCCATTGCAGAAAGCTGAGCAATAAAACTCTTTCTTATTGCATTTAGGATGTTTTAGAATCTCTTCCCGCACCAAGTTTGTGCCTTAAAAGTCTGTTGTAAAACAAGAAGCCATCCATTACATAAATGTTTTCATACAAAAATCAATTCTGACTTTAAAATACCTTATTGTCAAAAGGCGGCTCTTCAGCATCTTGTTAATTATTCACAGCACCTAGGGAACAACAATAGTGCAAAGAAAGAAGCTGAATGAGTGTTTTTCAAGTTTTTTTTCTGAAAAGCTTCACTTGCATACCCTTATAATATGAAGAGACATACAGCCTATAACTATATAAAAGGGTTGTATGAAACGGTAAAATGTTGTCAACATATCTAAAATAAAGCAATAGTGCAATGCTTAACATACGCAGTTGTTTAAGGTGCACTGAATAAACATAATTCACCAAGATTGGTGTTAGAATAAAAGATACTATATTAATAACAAAGGCTCCTTTAGACTGTGCAAGATTTGTTTGCTCTTGTCAATATTGCAGCAAAAACATAGCTGAACAGAAGAGTGCTCTACTTAATCTTGTAAATCCTTTCAGTTGCTGTTATTACAGAAATATATTCTTTAGTTGCAGAAGCTCAGTTCTGGAACTGCTAGGAAACTAGCAGTTTATAACCAGCAGTACTTAAATGAAAATCTTTGAACAGTAACTGGATATATTTCACAAGTAGAAATTTAAATACTAATTTAAATTTTAATGTAAAAACAAAATTATCTTAACATATGTATATCTGGCCTCAGGAAATCCTTTTATCCCTCAGACCTGGTCTTTAAGCAAGTATGCAGTCAGACTATTGCTTTCATCATTGGCCAGAAATTCTGTTCACCACAAAATGGATCTACATTTTAAGTTTAAAGTGCTTAGGTAAACTCTTGTGAGATTACCTTCATATGTAGCTGCTGTCATAATTTCCATTTATCCCCTGGATTCAGGGATGGCCAGGCCAAACCATCAAAGCCCAATCAATATATCTAGTTATCTCAGTCTGAGGAAATATCAACTGGATTCCTAGTGCTGCAATAAATGAACACATAAATCAACAAGCCAATATGTAACAGCTTCAACCACCTTCCTTACAATGCTACCCACATACCTGTGGCAGATGTACGGTCTGCAATTTCTGCTGCTTTTTGCTCCTTAACTCTAGCATGCTTTTCTTCAGGAACAATATTATGTTGCTGCTCAGAGTAGTCAACACCCGCTGATCTTCTCATGTCCTTGCTGTCCATGTCCAACCAATGGCTCCCAGGAGTCAGCATCCTGCTCTGAACAAGATGGAACTTCAGCAGGTCTGAAATGCTTTTCTGTCCCCCTTGCTGTTGATGAATGTATTGCACTCCTCCATAAAGCAGTTGCTTAGGCATGTGTTCATCACTCGTGCATGGGACATGGCTAGCGCAACAGAACTACATCTACTTCATCAATGCTTCTATTCAGTAACTATCATCTTGTTGCAGCATCCTGACATTAGATATTTGGTCAAGCTCTTCATCCCTCAGGAGGGAACACAAGAAACATTGGTTGATTTTTCTTCAAATGCCAGAAGGGGACATTCTTCAAATGTCCCCAGTATGATATCTTGGATTTCACACCCCTAAAGCAAAACAAGAGCAGCAGCCCTCCTAAACCTTTACCTTCATAGAGACCTTGATTTCTCCAAACCCACTTGGCCAATTTGCCAAAGGCTGCATCTACTTTCAGGTGAGGAAACAACTTCCTCATTGATACTAACAGAATCTACCAGCAGTGAGAGGAAACTGTTCTTCACCAATGTTACGGTGCAGGCTACGAGTTGATATATGATGTTGGTCTGAGTTTTACCCACAGTGATTAGTGGTCTAAGCATCAAATATGAAGTACTTATTACATTTGTGAGAGATCTCAAGTTTTCAGCCACAAGGTGTCTTTTCAGGTCTGGGAAAGAAGCCGGGATCAGACTAGACCTTTGTGTAATGGCAGATGAATTCTATGCAGCCTTTTTTTAGAGTAAGAGAAAATCTAAAAAACTGCATCTTTAATGGAAGAGCAGAGATACTAAGCTATTTTCTATGTGTTGGCAGATCTGATAATGCTCTTACTAAATCCTTGGTTACATTCACTCCTCTGTCCCCTTCATTCACTGGCAGAGCTTAAATGGCTACATTTCTAATGTTCCTAAATAAAACAGATCACTGTTATGATCCTATTGTAAAAGACAGCACTTTGGACTAATGCCATGATACTTCTTTATGCTCTGGAATTCCTTTATTTAGTTTCTGAAGCATCTGGAATACTTTGCAATGAAAGGTGCTATATGCTCAGAATAAATAAGATGATCAGTTCCATCATTCATACAAGCACAAACCATTCTGCAAAATTTCCTTACTTCTCTGAGGCAAAGAATGGGATCCAGCATTTATTACAAGAACATTAATTCACTCTCTCACCTTTTAAAAGTCAGACTTCTTAGATGTGCTTACTATGAGCTACTTTAATTATTCATTCACCATGAAAAATGAGATGGTTCCAAAACCATTTGCTGTATATAACTGTTGATAAAACATTTTACTTAGTATTGATTTCATGTTCATGTAGTCCCAGTTAAATCCTTTTACCACCAGTGTGAGAAATGACCTCTCAATTCAGACAGCTTTTGCAATTGACCGCATGAATTGCTAGTTAGCTAGACAGAACAGAAATAGAAAGCTGTTTTTGTAACCGAAACTTGTCCTCTGACCATGGGTATAGGCAGGCATGTGAAGCATATATAACTTCATACACTTTTTCCAGTAAGAGGGTAGCTTTTTACGTAGCCTGCTCGAATTAATGATTGTGGAAAAACAAATGCCCAGCTAGTAATTGCATATACCTGGGTGAATAGAAAGTGGTATACTATTGCATCCTTTGAGGCAGTAGTGGTCAACTAGTGAGGAAGCAGGGATCTGGGAAAGATGGGGGTACAACAGAGCAATAGATGAGGATAAAAGACCCTGGGGACACTTGAGGTGCAGGGTGGCCTGTGTGGGTAATGGTTATAGGGGCAGTGGGTAAGAACTGGAGTACCCTGAGGTTGGGGATCCATGCACCCAGCCTAATTGTCCTAGATCTAATCCCAGTAAGTCTCCTGGATATCACGCTTGCTGTGGAGCATTGTTTATTAGCTCACGAGCAGGGAGACAAGGCTGTGCGCCTGGAGCCTGCGCAGCACCTTACAACCAATGCCCTAGAGCTGTCCCCTGGCACAGTGATAGACTGGGTTGTTTTAGGAGCTGGATATGTCCTCACTCCTACAAACGTCCCCACAACTCATGGGGAGTAACCACATACCCTCCTCCATCACAACCCCTTCCATCCCCAAAATCACACTACATACTTCTCCCCTCTCCAACACTTGCAACACACACAACACCCCCACTTCCCTTACCAAACATTTCCATTAATTACCCTCTCTCAATACTCATACCACAACTTTTACCCTAGCACAAAGCTCTTTTCCCCAAGCACATCCTACATCCACCACCCCACCCCACAAATGCCCCACAAAATACAGCTACAAAAGGATTCTAAATCAGTATCATTCTGTGCCAGTGATGTTTCTCAATAGAGCAGAGCTGGTTTTGTTGGGTAATTATCATACCTTGTTCTGTTGATGTGGTTTTTTGTGTGGTGGGCTCACTGCTTGTGCCAACAAGCCTGGCTTGGAGAAAGACACTTTGGATTGGTGGAACATTTCTACCAATCAGGTAACAGCTGAGAGGGCTTGCCCTGCCCCCTTTTTTGGGGAGAGTGGAGGGGAGCCCCTGGACCTGATTAAAGACTGCGCTTTGCAGGTCTGGCAGACTTCAGGGGCGGGGCCTCCAGTGTAGATAAGCCCAGCGTGCTCAGCATGGTGGGCAGATGTGACAAGGGACTTAAGAAGAGTGCAGCAAGAAAAGCTGGGGAGCTCTCCCCCAGCGGGCAGTAGGCCCAAGGCTCCTGAAGCTGCTACTGGAGAAGCAGCTTTGGGAGTGCTGCAAGACCACTCCGGCTCTGGATGGCACCTGGCGACAGTACATGGAAACCTAGCCCTGGGAGTGGTGTGAGACTGCTCAAGCCTATCACAGTGCACAGAGTCCAGGCTTTGGGAGTCTGTTCAAGTGGCAGTTCAAGCCTGTAACCCTGGCCGATGTCACGGTGCACATTTTGGCACAGAGCTAGGGCTCTGGGGGCCGTAAGCAGTGGCTTGAGCCTGCAACCCCAGAGGGCCAGCAGGTTCCACAGTGTGCAGGGTGGTGCACAGGCCCAGACCTTGGGAGCTGCAGCAGGGAGGCTCAGGCCCCTAACTCCAGCAGGCTGCTGGCAGGGAGGTGCACAAGGGGCACATGAGAGAGCAGAGTCGGAGAACAGTGAAGGCGGCTTGGGTTAGCCATCCAGCATGAAGCCAGACGAGCCCAGCCTTTACTAAAAGAGCCCTCGGTGCCAAAGCCAGGGCACAAGAAAATAGTGCTGGGGTGTGAGACCCAGGAGCCAGCAGCAGCACAGCAGCTGAGAGGAGACAAGTCCCCAGTGCCCAGAGCAGGGCACAGGGTGGGAGAGGCCTGGCAGTGCAGGAAGGCCTGGAGAGGCACTTCAGTGGCAGCACGGAGGAGACCTATCAAGCTGCATCCTGACCACCACCACCTGAGGAAGCATGAGTCACTGGGCCCTTTGGTCTCACTGGGGAAGGTCCTTTGGGGAAGGCAACCCAGAGAAAGTGGCTGGGGGAGCAGTCCCCTGCTCAGGCAAGGGCCTAAGGGGAGGGGGCCTGTGGTGCTTCCTGGACACCCCCACCCCTCCGAGCAGGGATATATATATAAGGGATAGATGTTATGAAGAACGTTTGTGTCTGCGCCTTATATTTTGTAATGAGATGTTGTATTGTATTGATGTTGCTGCAGTTATTTGGTTGTGATGGGTAAATAATGTTATCATAGAACAAAGTAATTTCTGATTTTATTTTGTGGGCATATTGTTTTCTCTGTTGTGGTTGGGAGTAATTTTCCTAGAGCGTCATTTAGGGTTTGACCTTGGTTATTGATAAATGTTCACTGTGTAAATATATGTATATGATATTTCATTTTATGTTTAGGTAAATTATCATTCAATAAACTGTAAATAATTAAGAGCATTGGCTTGGAGTTGACTCTATAGAGGAAAGAGGAACCTGCGCTCAAATCACTGGTGTCCTTCTCGCAACACTGTTGCCTGCCTCATCTATCCCTTCCAACTGAGGATGGGCGCACCCTTGGGTGTTCCCAGGTTACATTTGCATTCTAATATTTGATGTTTTAAATATTGTACTTTTATGTGTTATAACTTTTGTCATGTTCCTCAGAGTAAATGACATTTGTATGGGGGGAAGAAAGGGGAAGGTGTCTGACAGCACTGTGTACAAAGCTGAAATCTCTGCCTCACACCCCTGCTGCTCTGACTGATTTAGGATTTGTATTCTGTAGCAAAGGTTTACACTGTTATTTCTGCTCTGCTTCTTTCACCTTCGTGGTCAGAAGTCAATTTTCCTTTTCTTGTGGATACAGTACCAGTCATCCATTCCAAATTCAGTTTGTGTTCATTAAGAATGCAGAGAAGATAACCAAATACAAGTTGACTAAAACATAATTGTTTTAGTAAGAAGAATGAGCAGTAAGTTATAGCTATAAAACAGTACCTACAGCACAACTGTGAACCTTTGCCTCAAATGCTTCTAAGTACCTAACTAGATAGTGAATCCTAGTGAATCTTCAAGCTGTTTCCCAGGCAGTTGCAGCCAGAGGTCCTTGTTCATGAAGTTTCTTCCCTCTGGCATGTGACAGATGTAGATAGCTCACAGGCTTTTTTTTCTTATAGGTTAGTTTTCAGAACAAAGCCTAACCTTTCTTATAGGTTAGTATTCAGAACAAAGCCTAAATAGCTTTTGTTGTATTCTCTCTCCATCCAAAAACCTGTCCTGAGAGTGATTCATCCATCTCAGTAAAGAACTGAAAAGGTTCCTATCTGCCTAGCATTCTAAATGTAAAAATTGCCACATAAGGACAGATGAAACTGCTGGAGTTCATAGACACTTTTGTACCCTCCACTTCCCAGTATATCAGGAGCTCATTTGCAACAGATATATGATTGCTGATTGTGTATTTGCCAGTCCTAGAATAGTCTTCATAGGTATGTCATGCAAACTTTGGGACTGCCTTTATAAGTGTCATATTAGCCTTAGTGCATTATTTTGTGCTGGCTCAATCTCTATTGATAAGGCTCAACACTGCCAACTGGCAAGGTGCCAGCTTAGTGATAACCAGGACATTTCTGCTTGTTAAAGAAAAGGGCAGAAATGCAGATTATCCCTATCTACACAGATACTAAACTACTCCTGAAGGACTGGAACAAATTAATACTGATTAATAGAATGTTGCATTAAATGACAATTAGCAAATACAACTAATGCTACCACGTTAGTATAAAGCCCTTGCCAGGATGGTTTTGCACAATGATTCTGAATGTTTGGAACAGACTGAGCCCTAGAACTTGTTTGGATCCTATGGCTAAAGACGTTTGCAGGAAATGACAGAATGTCCACAGAATGCCACGAGAAGAATACGGGCAGCCATACCTAGTAGTTAGGACCAAGAACTGGAATCTGAATGGGAAGTCAGGACAGGATGATGGTTAAAATCTGGATGTCAGGAACAGGCTAGAATCAGGGGCAAACTGAAGTCAAGGAACTGCAATTCAAGTTGGGGCCAGGAAGCTGCAAATTAGGAACGGCCCAGAAGTCAGGAGTTGAGAGTTGTTGCCTGGCTAGCCAAAGGTCAGAAACCAGACACAGGTAGCAGAAGCAAGAGCAGGGGTCAGTGTAGCTTATAAATTTATTAGGAGACTTATTGTACAGACAGCTCATCACTAGCTCCTCTACTGGTTTGACTCTGCTTGGCATGGGTCAGCTTCCTGCCAATATACTAGCCAATGAATGGCTGCCAAAGGGATGATTCATCCCCAGTTACGAACATCTATTGTAGGCCTAGATCTAAATGGGAGACAGTGTAACAGTATGTATGGATCTCAGAAGTAAACTAGCAGCAGCAGAAAGGAGGAGTCTGAAGGAGGAATAGGAAATGAGGGGGCGGAGATAGGAAGAGAGTTAGAGAGGCTAGGGAAGAACAGCAGGCCCTGCAACAGCTGTGTAAGAAACTGCTATAATAAAGACTGTTTATATTAAGTAGGGAACTGTTCCTTGATTACCCAGACAAGGTCACATGAAACAGACAGGAGGGTGTTTGGGTCTACTACAGGCTGAAGGCCATCCCCAGCTGGCTCACAAAGAAAGGCTTTATTCTCCAGAGCAGCATATTTGGAACACAGCACTTATTGCAAAACCAGTAAGCCCTGATTTCCTGTCTGTCTTTAGAAGTGGATCAAAATAATATTGGGAATATTCTAGTGAACGACCATTTTACATGGTATGTGCAGGCATATCCAAAGTAAGATCAGAGGCCAGCCCAGTTCAAGTGCTGAGGGAGACACTTTTCCCTGTATGGATTTCTAGAGCTTGGATACATTTTGACCAAAGAAGGGATTTTGAAAAGGGTATTTTCCTCTTGAAGGGAGCATAGCATCTGAGCAAGAATTACAATCTCCTGAACCACCTTTTATCACCCACAAGGAGATCTTGAGGTAGAACAGTTTAACATTTCTGAACGTTATGAGGACTCATGCTCAGCGTATAAGCTGAATTGGAGCCAGCATGTTGCATCATTGGTGTATTAATTCAATGCCACAAAGAATGTTTCTATAGGAATTGTATTATGCTTCAAGAGAACCCAAATTACCCTCAGACTTATGCTTCGGTGTGTCAGCTGAACTAACCAATTACCTCAACTTATGCTTAGTTGCTCAATGAAGAGAGAAATTAAGAGATACTTACAACCCAATATAGTTCTAATTCATGACTCGGACAGAAATAAGTACCAACATGATCCTCAGCAACACGCTCTAGAGGAGAAAGTTCTGTTATAAAACTTGTGCTGCTGGAAAGCACAAGACGGAAAACTGACCTAAGGTACTACTTATGCTATTGCTAGTGGAAAAGTCAGAAGAACTCTGCCAATCTACAGGAGCAAACCTAGGATAAGATCAGTTCCAATAAAGGTAGGACCAAAGAATCTTTTCCTATCCATCCAGCGGTGTTTCCCAAAATTTTGATACCTGGGGCACACTTTTTTCCTGGATTAAAATTAGTGGTACACTTTGTTCACTATCCCATGCATAGTGCTGACCCAGGCATGGTCTGGTCCCTTTGTATGGGGCCAATGTGTCTGGGACCTGATCCCTTTGTGTGGGTCTGGTCCAGCCATTCAGGGCCAGTCTGGCGGCAGTGGTTCTGGCATGGCTGGAACCTCATTTAGCTGTGTAAGGTTGGCTCAGCCAGGGTCTCATTCAGCCCATTTTTACAGCATATTTCTGTTGCTATTGTGAAACACTAGGGTGTTGGCACACCCTTTGGGAATCACTGACATAAACCATTTGAGACAGTATGTAACTTCAGCCCTTAGCAAGAAGAGCCTGCTGGAAAGAAGCCACCACTCAAATTTTGCAATAGAACTTCAGCGAATAATCAGGTTCTACCCTATGCATTCCCCAAAGAATCACCAATGATGCAAAGCAATTCAACTAACCTAGGAGGGTTGTTACAGCATCTAAAGTGCCCCAACAGTCACAAAAGCCTCTGGACTGACTTGACTTGACCCTATGCATGTAATTAGGAACATCTGTGTAATGAGGAGAATCCCATAATGTATCCTAGAATGTAGATCACATTAGAGCTTCAGTCTCTCACATCTTCTAAGAGCTCTGGCTCTTCTGTCTTAATGGCCATGGCAAATGCATTTATGCCCACTGAGCTCACAATGATGTCCTCACTATGCCAGCCCAGAAAGAGAAGTTCATTCCACCTTTTTTACCAGATCTCTTTGAAAAAAGAAAGGATTTTGGCAAGACCTGTTATTTGACAATGCAAGCACAGATGCAGCTGATGATCCCTGTCTCCTAGAAATTCCAACATGAGAATAGGCTACAGAAACGACTGTGCCAATACATGAGTCTTTTAAGGGAAGTTTCACTGTCACTACTCTAAAAAACATTCCCATTTGCTCATGTAATCCTCACTCTCAATAGGCAGGGTTATCAGGATGGAAAGAAGGTTAACTTACCATAGAGCCATGATAGTTAGCCAGGAACAGTACACTTACCTCACAGGCTTGTGGCAACAGTAGTAAGCTGTTTAAGACCCTCTGAAAATGAAGTGGAAATAATATAGGTAGTCCTCGGACTTACAACACAATTAGTTCCTGAAAACTGCATCTTAAGTCAAAACTTTGCAGCTCAGAACCAATTTTCTCATAAGAAACAATGTTATAAATGGGGGATTGGTTCCAGAACCAAGGCCCAATTTTCACTAAAAATACCCCAGAATTTTGTACTTGAACAATTATAGATGAGTAATATAGCTACATCAGTGTATTTATATTGTAAATCGATATGTATCGATTTGTAAGGACTTCTTTGAGGTGACTTTGCTGGACTTTTTGAAGAGTTCTTGGCTAGAGTCTCCTCAGGAATCTTGTCTGCAGGTTTGTCTGATTTCTTAAAGAAAGTATCCAAGGAAGTTTGGACAGATGTTCTCCAGGGAGATAAGCGACCTTGTTTTCTGGTGTGGCATTGCATTGGATCAAGCATTGTAAAGTCGAAACTGATGTCATAAAGTTGAAACGGTGTCAATTTATAAATGTTGTAAGTTCGAAACGTTGTAACTCAAAACGTTGAAAGTTGAGGACTGCATGTATATGTATAATTTGCCAGGAGGAGGAAGAGGGGGTGCAGTATGTTTATTAATGTTCTGTTTTGTGCTATAGAAGAAGGAGATCTCAGGCACCAATTACTGATGTACTGTAGGAAGTGAAAAACCCAAGGCAGACAACTTTGGTTGAAACTCTGCATGTGGTTGCCTTGGCTGTAATGAAATATTGCTATCTTTATTGTGCTGCTAAAGGGCAACAGAATTATGTAGGGCACTTAATGTGTCCCAAGTGAGGATGTTAACACAAGAACTTTGCTTGTGGCCCACTGCATAGCTCAGCTTGTCCTTGAGAAGACAAAGAGAAAGAATCCCTAATAATGAGGACTCCTTTCAAGGGTCTTATATGCCACTGCACCTTGTTCACAGAATAACAACATGGCTCTGCCATCCATCCAAGCAGCACTAGTAAAGTGGTAATCACTCTTGCTATAATAGGACCCTAAAGACCATGGAGCCTGGTGTTGCTATAGCCATATCAGGAGCCATATTAAGCACCTAATATATTAGGTTCACTATAAATATTTTATATATATCACTATATATCACTGTCTAATAATATTTTAGACTCTCACTATAGCCACTTTAGGAGCCTGGCACCATGGTGAGAGGCAACAGAATTATATGAGGTTGCCTGGAAAGAGCAGGGTGGGGAAAAACAGTGCAAAGACAGTTATGGAAAATGGGCTAGAGTTGGTGTCACAGTGCAAGGCAATGACAAAAAGATGGCATTACAACAAGAGGCAATGTAACTGGTGGGAGCACAGCTAAGGATACTAACAGAGCAGAGCCAGCTTTGCTTTCAGTCAGGCTGTGACATTGCTATCTATTGACAACAAACCTGAGCAGGATGTAGTGAAGGAGAAAGGGAGTGTCAACAGGACATTTAGCCAGAACTTCTGATGGACAAAGGAATACAACCTAGGGTGTGGTACAGATGCCTGTTTTATTTATCTGTCTGCTCTATGTAGGGGTGACCTCTTGTTTTCCCTACTTCACAGTTATGTTCCTGTTCACCTCAGTAACATCGTAACAACTTCTGTGAGAGAGGCAGTGCCAGTTGTTTGCAGTGCCCAAGGAAGGTAGTTATTTATCCCAGGTGTCGGCCTGGCCTCAGAATCGCAGCCTTACTCATTTTAAAGGGAGCTGCTTGACACTTGACTCTGGCCCTTTCAGCTGCTGCTGGTGGAGGGATTCACTGCCACGGGAGAAAGTCAGCATCAGTGCACAGCTGGCACCTCCCGTTTTGCCCTTTAGCCTGTGTCCAGCGGGGCAGGACTCCCCTGTCTGCAGCTGCGGCAAGTGGCTAGCGTAGCCAAGTCCGCTTGTAATAAGTAGAATTGGGCTTCTTTTTAAAAGTCACTTTAATTTTTTGAGAGGCGGGCTCATAAGCACCCCCATTCCCCTCCCTTTGAAGTGGGTTGGCCTGGTTTTTAAAGGCAGTACCCTTTTTTTTTTTCTTTCTTTCTCTTGACTTGGCAACACGGCAAGCGGCACTGCAAAGCCTAAAGAAAGAGAAGGCAGGGTCGGCCTGGGAGGCCATTCCCTTCCTGTCACGAGCGACGTCCTCCTTCCCTAGGCTCAGGGACTCATTTTTCACAATGGGTTTGGCTGAACCCGAGTTCAGGGCCAGCCGCTGCCTCACGGGCGCTCCCGGCCTCCCAACCGCCAGC